TCAAAGTATCTAAAGGCGGTGACAGTGACGAGAAAACTGATGGAAAGGCAACCCAAGTAAATAAAGCAAGTGACGCATCACAATCTTCAGGTGGCGGTGGAGCTGTACTCAGTGGTGCAAAGACAATTGAAGTATCTAAAGTAAGCGATAGTGGCGACCATACTGCTGGAAAGGCAGTCGAAACACCTAAAGAAAATGAACCTCAACAACCTTCCAGTGGTGTTGGAGCTGCAGTCGTTGGTGAAAAGAAAATTAAAGTATCTAAAGGCGGTGACAGTGACGAGAAAGCTAATGGAAAGACAGGCAAAGCAACTAAAGCAAGTGAAACACCACAATCTTCGGGTGGCGGTGAAGCTGTACTCACTGGTAAAAAAGCAGTCAAAGTATCTAAAGGCGGTGCCAGTGACGAGAAAGCTGATGAAAAGACAGGCAAAGCAACTAAAGCAAGTGACGCACAACAACCTTCAGGTGGTGTTGGAACTGTACTCAGTGGTGCAAAGACAATTGAAGTATCTAAAGTAAGCGATAGTGGCGACCATACTGCTGGAAAGGCAGTCGAAACACCTAAAGAAAATGAACCTCACCAACCTTCCGGTGGTGTTGGAGCTGCAGTCATTGGTGAAAAGAAAATTAAAGTATCTAAAGGCGGTGACAATGACGAGCGTGCCGATGTAAAGGAAGCCAAAACACCTAAAGAAAATGAATCTCAACAACCTTCAGGTGGTGTTGGAGCTGTACTCACTGGTGGAAAGTTAGTCAAAGTACCTAAAGGAAATGACGGTGAAGAGGGTGATGGTGGAAAGTCACCGAAAACATCTAAAGAAAATGAAGCTAAACAACCTTCCGGTGGTGTTGGAGCCTTACCCACTGGTGAAAAGTCAGGCAAAGTACCTAAAGGAAATGAGGGTGAGAAGCGTGACGATGGAAAGTCATCGAAAACACCTAAAGAAAATGAAGCTAAACAACCGTCAGGTGGTGTGGAAGCTGCTCCCGCTGGTGGAAAGCCAACTGAAGGTGACAAACTGATCAAAAAGGTAAATGACGCAGATGTCGTGGGTGCTGTTGTCCTAGGTGGAAAAGCAGGTAAAGCACCTAAAGGTGGCAAAGAGAAAAATGCGACAGCTCCTGTAGGAGCTGTTGTCCTAAGTGGAAACCCAAGTAAAGGTGACAAAGGGACCAAAAAGGCAGATGGTGCAGATGTTGTGGGTGCAGTTGTCCTAGGTGGAAAAGCAGGTAAAGCACCTAAAGGTGGTAAAGGGAAAAATGCAACAGCTCCTGTAGGAGCTGTTGTCCTAAGTGAAAACCCAAGTAAAGGTGACAAAGGTACCAAAAAGGCAGATGGTGCAG